TACTGCACACAAATCCACAAATTAACATGTAACTTCTCAGAGTCTGTGCCCTTAATTAATAGTAACTAACAAAACCACAGTGGTACGTTCTCGTGGGCAAGCCTGTTAAACAGCGCTTCATGCGTGCAGTTACCATCTTGGCCTCATCTCTAGGTTTTGGGTAATGTTTCCTAATAACAGACTCCCCTGGGTGGCTGTTAATATTCCTGGGACTAAGGTGATCGCCTGCTCTGTGTTTCTGTTAAAGGACTGGGGCCACCCGAAGCTTGAGGAAAAGAAAAGAGCCAGAGGTGTAAAAACGAGCAGAGAAGGGGAAAGGCAGCTGAAATAAAAATATGTACTAGCAGCTTACCATGTGTCTGTAACTATGCTAAGTGCTTTCCATTTCTTTTCTCATTTAATCCCCACAATAATATAAGAGGTGGCTACTATTTTTGTGTCTGTTTTACAGATGAAGACATTGAGGACTGGAGAAGATGGAGAACCTGGCCAAGGTCAGACATTGGTCAGTGGGGCAACTGGGTCTTCTGGCCAAAGTCCATGTCTCTTAGGATCAGTGTCCAGGGCCTGGGGAATGGTTTACGAAAGGCCCCACCTAACCTGGAAGAGGCCCCTGGGATGCTCCCAGAGAGCTGCCCACCTTTCCCAAGAGGCTTCAACACCTTCCCAAAGACATGTTCTTCCTGACACCGTGGAGACTGACCAGAGCCCCACCTTGACCTGGAAGCCCTCACTACCACCACCAAGGGTGCAGGACCCTAGCCAGAGAGCTGGACTTCCTCAGTGTGCCTCCAGCCTCTCCTCAGGAAGAGACTCGTTACCCTGGGTCCTCCAGAGGAGAAAATCAACTGGCAGAGTGAGAAAGTTCTTCCGGTCCAAACCTCTCCCATTTTATAGATGGGAACACTGAGTTCCAGAAGGAGTGTTCCAGAGGGCATGTGGAGTGACTTGCTCAAGGCCATGCAGGGAGCTGGTGGCAGAGCTCAGATGAATGCCCAGGTTTCCTGGCTCCTGCCCTGGGTTCCTTCTGGGCCTTCGCTGGGTCCTGGAGTTTGGGAGCTCGTCTGCTTAGCACTCCCGGCCTCTCTTCCTTCGCCATGCTGCCCTAGCTGTGCTGTGGGAGTGAGTCAGCCATTAGAACCCTCGCTTGTCATTTATAAATGCAGATAACAACTCAGACCTCCTTCCTTGGGGAGAGCTCACTAATAAGCATTTTAAAGCATTTTGAAGGAAGTGCTCCTCAGAGACTGGCTGAGGAGAGGGAGGGGCACCTCCTGGCTTCCCAGGAAAGGACCTCGCTCTGGTCCAGACCTTTGTAGCTCCCCTGGCCTCACTCTTCAAGAGGACAGTCCCTCCTCGCCCACTACCACCACCACCACCACCACCAAACAGATGCTGAAAACACTGGCAGTGTGCCAGGGGTCTGCATCCCAGGGACCATACTGCCGCCAGACTGAGACCTCTTTCCCTTTCCTGTGGATTCTGAGCCTTTTCAAAATGGTGGCTGTGTGAGTGGCCTTCCTCACCCCAAAGGCCCGCATGCATTTCCAGCCAGGGAGCGACAGACTGGGTCTCCCAGTAGAGATGCTTGGCTTTCCCACCACTAGGGAGGTATCCCATAGGGGACTCTACAGCTTCATGCCAATCCTTCACCAGGCACCTACCAATTCTCTCAGACATCTCAGAACCCACCTCAAACTCTGCTTAGAGGAGAAGGAGTTCATGTGAGAGGCCAGCACAGGCCTCGTCCATTCCATCCACATCCACTGGGGGCCTGTGACCAGGAAGGATGCCAGGTCATTAAACATCCAAGGAGAAAGGCAGTCCTTCAGTCACGCTATCGTCCCCTTCGACTTCCCTCACTGCCCCCTAGAAAGCCTGATTCTTAGACGATCACCCTCTACCTCCCCCCCGCTCCCTTTAGACCCCTCTCCAAGCAGGTGTCCACATCAATTGCAGTCAGCACAAGAGGCCCTTCTCCCATCAAGGACTTTCTCAATCCCACTGCCCCTCCTGCCACCTCCTGGTCCCCAGCTTTTCAGATGGAAATCAGCTTCCAGGATGCTGGGGCTTTCTGTGGAAAGACTCCCTAGGCCACAGCTGTTGGGGGTGGGCTGGGATGGGGATCAGCTCCCCTGAGGGTGAGGGGCCAGGCCAAGGGCTTGACCAGATTGAGCAGAGCAGGAAGCCCTGAAGAGCAAGGAAGTGGTGGGGCTCCTCGAGATGGACAGGGATTGCCCTGGAAGACTGTACCCATAGTTTCGCAGATGCTCCCAGAGGGCCAAGAACCTTGAGGGCAGGCTGGGGTGGGCGCAGCAGAGCCAATGCCCAAGTTGTCCAAGGAGTGTTCAGCCTCTTTCCTCCACTGTCCAGCTGTGCAATATTGGGTAAGGCATTAGCCTCAGTGGCTTCACCTGCAAAGTAGCAACAATGGTGCCTTCCTTGTCTGAAGGGCTCTGGACCCGAGCTTCAGGGCAGGAAAGTAGCCCAGGCCCCGGTCAGGTGAACCTGGGAGGAAGGCATGATCTGAAATAGAGTATTACGGTGTCTCAGGTCTCCTGGGGGCCCCTTTGGGATAGGGAGGGGAGGGATAGAAGGTGCTTTTTTTACTGCATGGAAAGACCTTTACCCAACCTATCTGTTTGGCCTCTACCGATGACTTTGCGGATAAGGACAGGCACTGCATTATTCGCGCTTGACTTTTAGTCCTCACAGCAGCCTTGAGAAGAGGATTATAAATCCCATTTTACAGATGGGGAAAATGAGGTTAGAGGGCTTAAGTCACTTAGCCGGGTCACAATAAATGGTGGAGGAAGGATTCATACCCAGGTCTTTCTATCCACGGCACTGCCCTGCCTGCCCCTCAAAGGCTAGACCCACCGAGTTTGTTCTGTATGGTGCCACAAGTACTTGGGCACTGGACAAAGGCTCCAGTGGTGGAAGAGAGAGGTCTATAGAAGAGGAGGCAGAGGAAAGAAAAAGAGGCTCTGTGATCCAGAACCATTCAAATAAGAAAGACAGTGAGTGGGGGGAATTGACCACGAGCTTCTGTTAATGCACTAGAATGATGTGGCTGCTAAAGAAAGGAGAGGAAAGGGAAAGAAGGAGAAAACAAAGTGGAAAAGTGAGACTGAATTATTCAAAGCCTGGTTTCCAAATACTTACTGTGATAAGTGCTTTACTATATGGCAGATACTATTATCATCCCTATTTTGCAGATCAGGGGAAACTGAGGCACAAAGAGGTTACATAACTTTCCCAAAGTCACACCTAGACTAAATGGCAGTGCTGGGCTCGACAGACTTTACAGCAGTGTCCTGAACTCTGCATTGGTCAAGGGGGCTGGATACGACCTGTCACAGTTCTAGGTCATGACCTAGAGGGATTTCAAGAACTGTGAGCACTTCCATAGGAAGGTGGACTCAAGACAGTAAGGATATGAATAGCTACCGTTTATTGAGCACTTACCATCTGTCAGGCACCATTCCAAGGGCTCCCTGTAGAGTAACTCATTTAATCTTCACAACAACTCTAGGAGATAGGTAGATTATTTTCCCCATTTTACAGAGGAAACTGAGGCAGGTCACAGGAAGAAAAAAGCCCAAAGAAACTCAGGTGTTTCGTCCACAGAACAGCAGACTTGAGAGGGCAGCCTCCCTCCCTCCTGCTCTCTGAAGGGCTGTCCTGGGGGAAGAGGGAGTGATGTGAGGGCAGGAGCAAGCACCCACTGCTGGGCATTAGGATCCAGACACCTGCCCCAGGTCGGGGTTAGACTCAGTGACCTCTCAGGCCCTTCCAGCTCTGAGACTTGGCCAGCCCTGGGGGCAGAGGAGGAACTAGAGGGAGAAGGAGACTAGGAAGAAGCCGGATGTGAATGGTTTCCTCAGAGTCCCCCTGGAATAAACCCCTGGTCTCCAGTAAAGGAAGAAATGGGCCATTCACTCTCTCTGGTCTGCCTGGAACCTGAGATCTTCATTCATGTGATAAGAGTCTATGGTAGTGGCTACTGGGTACCTGACAGGGGCTGAAATGGTTGGGGGGAGGCGGCCTCCCATCCAACTCAAGTGACCATTTTTTGAGCGTCTACCATGTGCTGGGCAGAAACTTTGACATCATCTTATTTACTCCCCACAAAACCATTTTACAAATGCAGAAACTAAGACTCAGGCGCTAGTAAGACACTTGCCCAAGGGTAAGCATCTGGTGAGCGCCTGGGCCAGTTAATTACAGGGTCAGTGGTCATCTAAGTGACGCATTGTCCCCACTCTTTTCGCAGAGCTCAGAGCTGATGGAGAGCCCCCACCTCCCTCCTTTGGCCCTCCTGTGTATTCTCAGCTTCCTCCCATCCCCTTCTCAGGGGGGCTGAAGGCTCCTGGACACCAGGGTGGGTGGCTGGAGGTCAGACTGGGTGGGGCAAGGACGAGGAGTGGGGACAGGGGCTGAGATGTGGGGCACCAGGAGAGGGGTAAAGAGTTATTGGACATCAATGCCAGGGCTGCAATGGGCAGTGGGGCGTGTCCCTTACTTTGGAGGGGTGCTCCGTCTCTTCCGAGGGAGGCGGGCCAGGACGCACTCGCTCAGAAGAGCGCTGCGGGCAGGGGCTGTTGCGGCCGGCGCAGGTGTGCCGGTTGCCATGGCGATGGCGACGGCGCCGCGCGAGCCCCCTCCCTCGCTCTCGTCCCGCAGGCGCTGGGCAGCGGGCAGCGGGCGGCGGGCGGAGAGCCGAGCAGGCAGCAGCGCTGCACGGGAGACTTCAGCCCCAGCTGCTAGCCGGCTCACTCCGGGCCCGAGGGGAGCGAGACCCAGCGAAGGACTGGGGCCTGCGAGCGTGCGCCCTCTGTCCCCTTTCGCCGGACCCCGGACTCGATCCCCGGAGCCCAGAGGCAGAGGCGCGGGCTGGGCAACCCAGCGCCCGGAGACCGCTTCTCCCCTGCCGACTTGGAGGGACCCGCTGCCTCCCTCCATCGGAGACTGTCCGGGAGCGGGCGGGAGTGGGCAGCATGGAGGGTGAGTGATCCTGGGGCGAGTGGGGAGTGGGTGAGGGGCGGGTACTGACTCGGGAGCAGTGAGCCAAGGGAGAGAAGAGGGGTTGGGGTGTCTGGTTACGGAGGGCTGTCCAGAGCCGGACACTGTGACGCTGTGTGTGTGTTGTGTGTATGTGCATGAGACAGAGACAGAGAGACGCAGAGAGACAGACCTGGAGTGCTCTGTAGTGTGTGTGCGTATGCATGTGTGTGGGAGAGAGACAGAGACAGAGACAGAGAGAGGGAGAGAAAGACCTGAGGTGTATCGGTGTGTGCACAGCATGCTCCCTCCTGCCTGGGCAGGGGCTCATTTGAAACCAGGTGAGGACAGCTTGGCTATTTGCTTTAGAGAAATTGTCATCGACTTTGCCACTAGAGTGGGTAGGAGTAGTGGGGGAGATGGAATTCAAGACAAGATCTCCTCCATGCAGAGAGAATTTCTCTCCCTGGGGGAAAGGAGAGGGGACTATGGACCTGACCTCCAGGACGTGAAGGGATAGTGGCCCCAGGCATAAGGCTGCTTGCTCCAACCTTATCAGGTGGTGCTCCAAACCCCTCTCTCAGCCAATGTGGGCAAGGGAAACCATATTTAGGCTAAGAAACTGGAGGACTGAGGGCTGGTCCACTGGCTTGCTGGGTGTCTTTGGGATGGTACCTAAACCTCTCTGTGCCACTGGCTACCCACCTGTTGAATGGAGAAACTTAGATTCAGCTGGCTTCACAGGGTGGGGCTGTGAAGGCTGTGAGGGTTAAAAAAGACGATGTGTTGAACAAATTCATACCAGCAAGAGAAGGCCACCACAGGAGGTAATAAACCCTGAAATTCCAAGCAAGTAATTGTAAACACTGCTGGCAAGAAAGAAAAAGGAGTTTTACAGAATATCTTGTGTGGCTGCGCTTGTAGCTTTCCAGTGAGCTAGGGTTTGAAAAGTGCACACACAAAGATGCAATGAGGAATGCATAACCCAAGATAAATCTGGAAGACTGGCGGGGTCTGTGAGAATAGTGTTAGCAGAGCACTGAAGCCCGAGTGAACAGAAGCCAGGGAAAATTGATAAAGAGCCTTTCAAGTAAGTAAGGATAATAAAAAGGAATCTGCTTGGCGTTTGGTCTGTGTGGTCTAATCTTAATGTACAAGGGAGGGTAGTCAGAGCAGGGCACAGGCAATTTTACTTCAAATAGTGGCATAAAGAGGAAATTGAAATCCAACACAGGTGATAGGAAGACGGCATCAGGCCACATACGATTGAAGCCCAGACAAATGACATCCCAGGGACCCGGAGGCATTTGCAGATGTAATCATTGCCTTAGAGGAAATTACAGAGAATGAAGGAAGTGCTAGAAAACTCAAGACGGGCAGATGTTCTGATTTGCAAAAAAACAAGGAAAGATTTTTTTTAAAAACTGCTAAAATTAACGTTGACCTCTATTAAAATTCCAGAATAAATTGTCAAACACAGTGAACACTTAGGAGACAATAAAGCAATCACACATCTCAGAATTTTTTCAAAGGATGCCATTCTGTACACTTGCAAAGATATGTGCACGAGCATTTTCATCGCAGTGCACAATTGGAAACCATCCAGATGTCCATAAATTAAGTAAATTAAGTGATGAGACACACCTGCAATGGCCCACTGGGCAGACATTAAGAACTGTGTTTAGGATTTTATTTACTGGCATAAGCATATGTTCACTGTCTACTGTGAGTAAAAGTAAAAAAGCAGGTTTTAGAACATGTGTAGTATGATCCCCTTTATGCAAAATTACGTAGGATTATTATTGGATGTATATGTAAAATATATGCAAAGAGGTGGTCACTAACATCTTGGGATTCTCTGGCCTCTGAAAGCATACCGTAAGAGAAGGACTTGGCTATAAGGAGTTTATTTGGGAGGTGATGCCCGGAAGCAGAAGTCAGGAGGGTGAGATGGGAGGGGGAGAAAAAGCAAGGAATGGGTGCATGAATGAGCTGGGTTTAGCTGTGGGCAATTGAGCATTCTATCCTTCTGAGGACCCTCTGAGAAAATTGCATAATAGACCCAAAATTTGCCCCACTTGAGACGGGGAGCTGACTGCTTACCCCTCTCCATTGGTTGAGGGTTGCCCCACTCCGGCACTTCTAGGTGGTTCCTGTTCATGGCTTCAAAGAAAGCAAAGCAAAGAGACCTCTAGGTGCAGGCTTGATGGAGCACTGGAAGTGCAAGCAAGTGTCCACCCCGGCTAGAATTTTGGGGCTGAGAGGATGTGGCAGGAAGCATCACAAATGCATCGGCCATGGGGGTTATCTCTGGGTGGGAGCAGTGACATTTGCTCTCTTCTTTTGTAGTGCTCAGAGCTGTTTTATAATAAGCACATCGTTTTTTATAAAAACAAAAAAAATTTTCAAAAGGAAAGAAAGTAATGTAGTACTCCTTAGGAGCCAATATTAGTGCTCAACTAAGAACAAATCAGGCTAAACCTACCAAATTTCCTCTTTCAGACTGGATTTCTCAGAGGTAGAAAGATGAATTATGAGATTTCAGCAAGACGCTGCGAAGATTTCTCAGAAAGCCCGGTGAACTGATGGAGAGAGTGGAAAGGGGACGGGAAGACTGACAACGGGGCTTTCATTAAAGACTTGAATGCAGCCTGGAGGTTCCTCGGGCTCTGACCTTGACATGACGTTTAATAATTTAGAGGGAAAATAAAAGGCATGCTTATCAAAGCTGTAGATAAGAGCCGCAACACCCACACGGCAACAGATTCAAGGTTTAAAGGTATCTCAAGATGCCAGAATGCGGGATCGAAACCAGGAAAATGAAATATAAATATAAGTGGAATGCAGACTCCTGAATTCAGGTCCAAAAAATCAATTGTTTACATTTAAAATAGGGGAGATCTGGCTTGCATTCTTGAGGAAAATTACTGGGGGGCTCAAAATGGACTGACAGTAAGATGGGCCTAGAACTTCCTCTCGCTGAAGAGTAGAGACCCTGGGATGTTCGGGGTGGGAAAAAGGCAGGGAGAGGGGGATGACCCTGGGGACAGGGGCTCACCCTTGTTCTTTGTGGCTCCAGGGGGCAAGTTGCAGTAAGAGAATTTAACTCAACATCCTGTCACTCAGAGCTGGCCCAGAAGCTGTCTCCTCACTGGTTCTCATCCAGCTTGAGCAAGGGGCCTGACAAGGGGGTAGAAGGGGGGATTCTTGGGTGGCTGGATCAAAACTATGGCCTGGAGGGTCTCTGAGGGCCCAGAAGCCTTCTCCCAATACCTGTGGACAGACAGAGCAGTCTGCAGAGCCTCCTGCAGAGTTGCTGGGGCCAGCTGGGCAGTAACCCTCTTCAGGCTTTCCCACTGGGCCTTGGCTGTGGTGATGTGCTGTGTGATGTCAGCAGAAGACAGCAAATCAGATGTACTCCCACCCCATTGCCAGCCTGACCCCAGTCTAGTGGCTTCCTCAGAGTCCCTGGCAACCTCCACAGCTGCCTACTGGGCCTGGGAGCTCTGTGGTTGAGGGAGGCCATAGGCTAGGAGGATGTATGTTCACCCTGGGTGGAGATGGGTGTACCTGTGGGGAAGTGGCCCGTGCAGAAGAAGGAGGCCACTGGGGAGAGGAGGAGGAGGGGAACAAGCCAGCTGGTCTCCCTCTAGCCCAGGACACAGAAGCATTTTGGAGGTCCAGGTGGGTTCTGCTTTTCCATGCCCCTTGGACATGCTGCCAGAGACACTATGCCCTGTTCTTTTTCACAAAGCACTTCATCCCCCTGGAGCTGCCCATCCAGCCTGGAAGGTGGACAGGGAGACAGCATCACCCCCATTTAGCAGATGATGAAACTGAGTTTAGGAGGTGCAGCTTGCTCTGTCTTGCAACTACAACAGGTCTGCTGGCTTTTTCTGCACAAAATGGCCCAGACTCTGGGGACTCTTGGGGCTGCAGCCTCCATGGAGTCCAGCTATCCAGCTTTGTCCTGAAGACCGTCTGCACCTTCCTGTCTTGCTGGGAGTGGGGAATGGGAGGGGACTCAGCTGCTGCTGGGGAGACAGAAGCCAGGTAGGTGCAAGTCTGCTTCCCACTGGGGCCATGATCAGTGGCAGTCTGTCCTGCTTCCAGCAGTGAGTTGAAGCAGTAATTACAGTAAGTATTTCTGCTCCAGGCATCGTGTGGCTCAATCTATTGCAAAGACCTCATATTATTAGAGCCAGGAAAGGCCTGGGTAAGCAACTTCTCAACCATGATTTTATAAATGAGGAAACTGAGGCACAGAGATTGGAACTGACAACACAGCTAATTTCTACCAGATCCACTTAAGACACAAATATGAAGGAATTAAATTCAATCCCTCCTTCTTAAAAACCTTTTGCTACTTTGTCATTAACTGAAATTGCACCATTAGAGCTTTGCTTTTTCTGATTTGAGGTTTGACTTCCTCTGAAATGGAAACGCCAAAAAGGGACAAAGCACTTTAAACTGTTATGAGTCATTTCCTCATCCATGTGAACAAGTTTATTAGAATCTTTCCTAAAAGAAGATCCTGCTAGGAATGGGGAGAGAGAGAACATAAGGAGCTTGGGACAGGGACATTGAGACTCTGGGTGGTGATGCCTGGTTGGGAAGTATTGGGTGGGGGAAGAATGAATCCCAGAGGAGTTACGTGTTCACTTCCATTACTTCTCAGTTGAGGCCAGACTAGCCTGGCTCTGTCTCTGGCCACAGTGTGCCTGGATTCTTCAGGAAAGGTTTTAGATGACACAGGCAGTATTTGTGGTGTCAGCTTTGCAGCTCGAGCCTTGGAATGGCAAGGTCCCCCTCAAATCAAGGATCCCTAGTTGCTGCTAATGGACACTGGAGGTCTTAATAGGTGACCTGATGATGCCCAGAGAGGATGAGAAGTGGTTGAAGGTGGCAGAGCCAGAGCCAGGCTCAAACTCAGACTAGGTTACCTGGCTTACTTGATGGATCCTGAATCCTGGGGCCAAGCAAAACCTGGGGCTCCACCACTG